CTCCTGCGTGCTCTTCCTGCTGATCCTGTCACAACTTCCACAAATGCAGTGGCATAGAACAACACAAGCCAAGGCGTTGGTGTGGGTGTGTGCTCTCTGCGGGCGTTGGAGACAGGCTGCTTCCTGGCAGCCGCCTACCTTCCCGGGCTGTGGCCCCTTCCTCCACCTTGGAAGACAACGAGGCGGCCTCCGGAAGCCCCTCTCCGCTCAGCTCCGCCCTCACGCCTCCCTCCTCTTCTGACTCTGCTGCTGTTCTGGTTTGTGTGTGGGTGTCCCCTCAAAGCCTCAAGCAGTAATGGGGCGGGGTTTTAGAGTTTAGCTTGATTCATGGGTGTGAGAGCTACACCCGCCCTGGGGCAGATAGTTTGCACATGTAAGGGAGAGAAAGAGGCTGCTTGCCGCCCCTCCTCCCCTTTTGCTGTTGTTGCTTTGCTGCCTTCCACCACCATGAACTGTTGCCCTCTGCCATGTGCCGCTCCTCCCTGGAGCCAGACAAGTATGGACTGAAACCTCCACAGACCGTGAGCTAAATAAACCTTTCCTTCCTTGATTTTGGGCGTCAGGTATTTTGTCTCCTCAACGAGCGAGAAGTAACCAACACACCTGCGCTCCTATCTCTCTGGTAAGGAAAGGACCTTGAGATTTTGTCCTTCTCTTTCACTAAAAGCTACACACAGGCACCTGGATTCCGTTGACCAGACTGTGGGGTCTGCAGTGACACCCACAGCACCCTCGAACTCCCAAGAGGGAGGAGGTGGGGCGGGCGTTCACCATGCCTCAGCACCTGCCCTCCTCCTCCCCTGATAATGCTCAGCTGCTAAGAATAAAAGAACTGAGTGTTCACAACTCAGCAGTCCTTCAATAGTTCGTGGTGGTCAGCACCGCGGACAGCGCCCCCGAGCCCCTGGTTCTCAGGCGCTGAGGAAGGGACGACTCAGAGGACGGCACCGCGACCAAAGGCGTCCATTTCTATTCTACTCAAGAAAAGCCCAGTACTAAGTTATTATGGGATGGCCCAAGTCTCCTCCTAATTACATCTCGTGATCCGTCTTCGTGTGTCAGTTATTAGGGTTTTGGGCACACCTCCTGCAAACGCCTGCGCGGCAGACGGGTGTTCCCAGAGTGTGGTTCCGGGAGGCTGACAGCCTGCTCCAGCCTCACCACGAGTGTTTCTGGCCCTGAGGTTCAGGGACTGGGCTTTATCCAGTGGCTGGGAGCTTGCACAGCATATGTAAGGCCGTGGGTTGATCCCCAGCACGCTGGCCTTCCCCTCACCCTCACAAAGTACCCCGAGGTTAGGTCACTGCCTCACCAGTGATTCCATCACCCACGACCATGCTAGGCCAATCAGTGGGCTAATCCAGTTATCACATGCCCCAAATCCAGTATCACACACTCATGATCCGACCACCACCCCAAACCCCCACCTATAAGCTCATGAGGCTTTGGGGGATCTCTAGATACAAGCCACGACATGCCTCACGTGTCCTAGCCCCTCCTGCCCTAGTCACACCGGTACCTCACAGTCCCCACCTCCCCTTGAGATGTCCCAGCCAGAGGCGTTCACACCTAGGTGTGAACTCAGGGATGTGCTGAGACGTCAAAGCCGCTAAGGGGACTTCCAGAGAAACAAAATAAGTGGCAGAGGCCGACGTCAACGTCTTCAGTCCCCGTTCAAGTGGGGTCTGCATGTTGATGATACAAAAGTACAAAAAGAACCTGGTCACTTCAGGAGAACACACGGTTCCAAACAGCTCCTTAGCCTGTGGGCGCACTGAGTCCAGATGTAAAGCCTGAGCATTTGCTCCTGGGTAGGAGAAGAAGTGACAGTATCACTTCTCAATGTGCAGGCACTACACCATCTGTACTTCCTTCACTCCCCCAGGGGGCCACACTGCCACCAAATCCTTCTTGTCACCACGTTCCCTCTTGTCTCCTGCCTTTGCCTCTTAAGAAGTTGCAAATAAACAAGAACAAATCTATGAAAAGTCTGGAGACAAAAAGTCCCTTTAATCCCAATAATTCAGCCTCTATAACCATGAACTGCCCACTCGACCTGCTGTCTCAGGCACGCAGGAGTCTAGGTGCCTCTAGGGACCCTGCCCTTCCCTGTGCAGTGGGAGGGGCAGCACATCAGAACCAGCAGTGAGCAGGATACTGAGACAGGGTCATTGAACCACTAATGAGCTCCCAGAGGTCTCCGGTCATTTTCCTAAACTTATGGTCACCTTGGATTCCAGCACAGCCTGGACCAGACACAGTGAGGCTCAGGTGCGTGAGCTCCGGTGAACTTAGCAGACCTGATTATAACCTAACCCAGGATGACTGATTGTACCATGGGGTGGAAGCAAGCTGACAGGGGTGAGGACCTGCTTCATCCCCATCCCTTGCGGTGGAGAAGTGTGACCCTCTTATCTAGCCAGTTCATGATTGTGAGTGGTGAGAAGAGGGAGCCCCAAATCATCTCCTTCAAATGCTGTTGGCTCTGGCAGAGCCACAGAGCCAGAGGAGCCCTGCTGTAAGCAGAGCCCCAGAGGTTTGTCCCTGGGAGGGGAAACAGGCGTCTCTGACCCTGAGGCCTGCCCCTCTGCTGAAGGAATCCACACATGGCATCTGTATGGTTCCACCACCGTCCCTAACACAGCGAGGCCCGGACATCTGAGGGTGAAGAGGGAGAGGCCGCCAGGGAGAAAAGAGGAGGCTGAGAACCCTGTGCCACAGCGGGCTTCCAGTTCCAGCAGCTCTGCGATCATGTGAAAAGGGGACAGGATGGAGCCCTGTCCACCTGCGCACTCTGGCTCGCGTGCGTCTTCACAGACACGGGTCCTCTCCTCTCCTCCTCACACACCCTCAGCCGAGCCCGAGGACCGGGCACATGGGGCTGGATCCCCAGTTCTTTTTTCTTTCTTTGTCTTTTTGAGACAGGGTCTCGCTGTGCAGTTCAGGCTGGCCTTGAACTCACTTTGTAGCCCAGGCTGGTTTCGAACTCACAAAGATCCCCCTGCCTCAGCCTCCCAAGTGCTGGGACTACAGCCGTGCGCCACTATGCCCAGCTGGATCCCCAGTTCTGCAGACCCAGCTTGGCCTGGCTTCAGACTGCACACCAGAGTTTGATGACGTTCCATGGGAAGATCCGAGAGGGGCTTGGCTGAGATATTGAAAGTCCAAGTCAGAATGTGTCCTGTCATTAAAATGAGATGTAAATTTGATAAATGTTTAAGGATGATGTTGCGTAAAACTTTTCCTGATTCTTCCATGGATACGTTCCTCACTGTCCACTAGAGGGCGCCAATCTCCAGTTTGGCACATTCCAGTGGCGGCGCAGCGGGTCGGGGCGGGGCGAGGGGGGGCGGGTGGTGACCTCTCAGCAGGGCCCAGTGTCCCGCAGGGTCTGAATCTCCCCAGCCTAGTCTCACACCACAGTCCTCCTCTTTCCCCAGTCTGCCCCGCTGGCCTCAGTCACCTCAGTGGTGAAGGCCACCTCTCTGCAGGGAGCTCCTGACCTCTATAGCATCTTGGGTGAAGCATCCACTGATTCTAATTAGGCCTCAGCCTAAAGGACTCTTTCACAGAGGACTCTGATTTCCAGGCCAGCGTGGTATATACAGGCTCTGGATGCCCCAATTCCGCCCCTCATAACCTTCTCCCAGTTACCGTTCCTTTCTCTTTCACTCTGCTCCTGAAGTGTGGGCTGGGTACTGAAGGGTCACACGGGGGAAGGGGAAGAAGGGCCAGAAGGCAGGACTGAGCGGGAAGGGGACAGAGAGGTGTTTTAGACACAGACTTGGCCTCCAGTCATGTGGTCCCAGGAAGTGGTCCTGCCTGGGGAGGAGGCTCAGCTCAGAGGGAGGAGGGACCCCAGAGCTGACCCCCTGGGGAGTCTTGCTCTGGAGCCACTCTGGAGCAGACAGCAGAGACCATGGAGACGCCCTCAGTCCACCCTCAGTCCACCTCAGCATCCCTCGCCAGGGGCTTCTGCTCATGGGTAAGAGCGCATGATTCTTGGGGAGGGTGGGAGGACAGAGACTGGCTGGAGGCTCCAGGTGAGCCCTTGAGAGGTGACACGGGGCTTCTGTTTGGAGCCTGAGGGGAGAGGGCGTGAGGAGGGACAGAAGGCTTAGGAACAGGAAACTCTCAATGAACCAAAACTGATAAAGGAGGAAAGAAAGCTCCATTGCTGTCCGTTCAAGTCAATCATCCCAGGACCCTGAAATTTTGAAAACTGATGTTAATAACTATGGCAGGGTGACTCCCCACATAAAAGCATATGGGGGGCATTAAGCACTGCCTTTAGGCACCAAGCTCAGAAAGTGGCAAATAAACTCCTGGACATGCAGGGCCGTGGGAGCCCGTGCTGGTCCATGCACAGGGGTCTGAGCGTGTTCCACACACCTGGATCCAACAGAGATCAGACAAGTGCCTGTCCTCATAGAGCAGTGGTCCTACTGGCCAGGGAGGCAGACCAGCAAGAACACCTAGGAGATGAGATTGAGTGTTGACAAGAGCCTCGGATCAAATAGAGTAGAGAAAAGCAAGAAAGTGAACACTCAGGGT